ATACTTTTGTTGATTGTATTTCGTAAAAACAAAAATGCAGCCTTAATTTTTTTATAAGTGAAATAAGACATTATTTATTTAATTATTCTCAACGATTTTGTTTTCAGGGGAACATTTAGGATGGAAAGAGAAGACGGATATGCGTTTGATTGCAGAATTCCACCATTCTCCTTAGAATCGAAAGCAGAATCATCCACGCCCAATGTAGAAATCTGATTCTTTAACAAAGGATGATTTAATAATTATAAGCGATGATTTATAGTTAGATAAATATATAACAATTATTAGATGACGAGATAATATAGCTTCACGTACAATCAATGATTGATCTAAGTGTGAATCTTGTGATAACTCGGAAACTAATTTTGCGGACAGTTTCAATAAAATTATAATGTACATACTTTCTCTGAAAAAAACCTGTTACATAATCTCATACGTGAGAAGATATCTAGCGTCATTCATTTTCTAACACAATCTAATTTTAATGAAATTTAATATATGTAAATGTAAAAAAACTAACTCTTTAAATATATTAAATATGTAAATACAGAAAGAATACTTAATCAACGTAGGTTTTGCAATTTTATTTCTATAAAATCGCTTTTGTTTGAAAAAGTTCAAAATTAAAATATTAAATAAAATTGAAAAAAAAAACGAAAAGACAAAAATGATAAAGGGCGGGAAAGAAATTTTTTTACGACCTGTGTTTACGCTTTTATAATTTTTTTTGAACTTTGTAAATATTTATTTATCCCACGGAACGCATCTGAGGGAACTATGGGATGGTCTTACGTAACCACTCGAAAAGATCCCCCGGAATGAAAAATCATGGATTGCGTGTTTTGGCCACCCGATACGGACAGATGCGGAACACAGAGGAGAGGGAGCGAGCGAGATAGAGACATAGATCTTGCTTTGTCTATCGATCACGGGATAAAAGCGAGGTGCGCCGTTTCCATAAACGCAGCCCAAAGCCCGAACGCAGTTAGAGGCGTTGGAGCCACAACGCGATCATTAACTTGGCTGTTTTTGGCGTCGCCTGAGTTTACTTGCCGCATCCGTTACGATGGTTGTTTGTAAGTTACGCATGTACACGCTATGTAGATTAGGAAAATGTCACCGCTGCGATGGAAATGAGGCGCGTGGAAAAACATCTGGCCCGCGCAAAAGAGCCTGGGATTAGACGCGAGGATGTAATTGACCAGCCTTAACCTTTCCAAATATGCCCGATTTTTTTCTCGCGGCTTGCCACACCCTCGAATGTTATTAATAATTTTGAAACCGCCACTCGCGAACCCCTTTTCTGCCGTATCGGATTGCGCGAATGTTGACATTTTTATTTCGAATCGAATGTTTACTGACGCGACGACACTAATAGCGCGTTTTTTCCCCGCATTAAACGACAAACAATATAACGATGCACGGATTGAAGTAAATAAACCATATAGAATTTTGATTAAATTTAACGTTGCTCTTCTTTTTTCTATAGGTCCATTAACTCCCGAAGTTCTCGATCAGCTACGTGCAAAGTTTTATGCCGATAGCCGTAATATATTGGCACAGAATGTCTGTACGAAAACGAATCCTATCGAGGCTTGTGCCTCGAGAAAGATTCTGGAGGAAACCCACCATGTCTTCACTCATAAGATTGAGACTGAGGGCAAGCCTGTAACTAATCAGAAGAACTCTGGAAGATGCTGGCTGTTTGCCATCCTAAACGTCATGAGAACTAGCTTCATGAAACAGCATAATCTAGACGAGTTTGAGTTTAGCCAAGCTTACCTATTTTTCTGGGATAAGGTTTGTTAATTTTCAGCGTTGTACATGACATATACGAGGTTGAGAAGTAATTAATTATTTATAACTAACTTACAGTTTGAGTTATCTTTTTTAAGTAATTTTAAGTTAACTTCATTTTTTTTCCAGCTGTAACTATAACTTATTTATATTTTTTAAGTAATAACTAATTTGAATTACTTTAATATTTTACTTTAATATTTTACACGTTTTAAATTTATTTATCAATTTAATATGTTTGGAGAATCTAAATAGTTCTGTTAGTGCTGCTATACTGATTATGTATAAGACAGGAGTTCAAAAGACAAACAGTAATTTAATTTTACTAATGTCTACTGGTTCTTTATCTTTGCGAATTATCTTTAAAGTGAATTATCTAAATATTACATTAGTAGCAGTATTTTAATCTTGTTTATTATTAATGTCTATTGATTCTTTATCTCTAAAAGGCCATCTACAATAAGATTAATACAGTATAGTAAATTATAAAAAATTAATCACAATAGAAGTGTATGTATGACTGCTTACTATGCAATTGCTCCCAAATAACGGTCCATAAAAGTAAATTATCTGTACGAATATCGTAAGGCAACATGATATAAGTAATAAGCAAAGTAATCACATTAAAGAATGGAAAGTTACTGTCTTACATTTTCTATCATGATTGACTAATTTGTTTGCTGTTTACATTTTACTGCCTTATATTTTTCTATGAGTTTTTAGTTTAATTTTTTCTTTTTAAATATAATTATATGTAAAAAACATAAATCTTTTTCTTTATTGGTCCTAATAGCATCAAAATATTACCCGTGTTGTCTCTATAATAGTAACAGAAAAGTAACTGAAAAGTAATTGAAAAGTTACTTTTTGAGTAACTGCAACTCTAACTCGTTACTTTTTAGAGTCACTAACTTCTAACTGTAACTAGTTACTTTTAAAAAGTTAGCTGAAAAGAATGTGCTTTTTACAGTTAGAGTAAAACAGTATTGAATTCCAATGGTTATTTAAACTCATATATATATGTTGTTGGTTGCAAATACTGTCATTGTTCGTTTTATTGTTATGCCATTACAGCTAGTTGTATTTCTCTTGCAGGTAGAACGTTGCAATTACTTCCTGCACAATATCGTAAACACCGCGAAGCGCGATGAGGCGGTCGAAGGCCGTTTAGTCAACTTCCTGTTGACCGATCCTACCTGCGATGGTGGTCAATGGGACATGATTGTGAATCTGATAACTAGACACGGTGTCGTGCCGAAAACATGTTTCCCGGAATCATACAGCTGCGAGTCTAGCGTTCGTATGAATAGCTTGCTGAAAAGCAAGCTGAGAGAATATGCCAAGGCTCTGCGAGACATGATCGACAATGGTGCGTCTGATGATGAGCTGAAGACACGAATAAATGAACAGATGACGGTGATCTATCGGATAATTGGCATCTGTTTGGGTGTACCTTCTGAGAAAATTACATGGGAATATTATGACAAGTCGAAGAATTACAACTGCGTGGGCCCGATCACGCCACTAGAGTTTTACGAGAATTGCGTGAAACCATATTACAATGTCAACGATAAAGTATGCCTGGTAACCGATCCACGACCGGGCAATCCTTACGGGAAACTCTATACCGTAGATTGCCTGGGAAATGTCGTGAATGGGAAAACTACTCGCTACAATAATCAGCCAGTGGAGTTACTGATGAAACTGTGCGCTGAGAGTATCAAAGATAACGAGCCTGTTTGGTTCGGTTGTGATGTTAACAAAAGATTAATAGATAAACATGGTATTCATGATATAAACACTTACAATTTCGAACTAATGTTCGGCACCGACATTCACCTCGGGCTTTCTAAAGCCGACAGATTGCTCTATGGAGATTCTATGATGGTACACGCAATGGCATTTACGGCTGTTTCAATAGATGTAAATATTTTTCCAATATTTTTTCTATACCGAATATATCAAATTTAAGCAATATTTATTAATAGTTGTATTCAGGAAAAAAATAAACAATTTTATAACTGTTGTAAAATTCTTAATATGATCTTGCTATTAGTTTCTTACTGAATCTAAATGTATAAACCAACCATTAAAGAATCTTATAATAGTTGCAAAGTTGCCTTTTCTGTTAAATGTTGTAATGATTTATCTAATATATTATTTTGTTTCAGCGAGAAGGTAAAATAAAGAAGTTCCGGATAGAGAATTCATGGGGCGAGGATCATGGTCAAAAGGGTTACCAGGTTGTGACAACCGAGTGGTTTGCTAATTTTGTCTTTGAGGCGGTCGTAGATAAAAAATACGTACCTGCGGACGTGATGGCTGTATTCAATCAGGAGCCAATCGTTTTACCCGCCTGGGATCCTATGGGCACGCTCGCTCATTGATGTTAAAGTGATTTAACTAAATGCGATGGCAAGCCGTTTTATTTTACAAACAAAACATTTCAAGCATAACTCGAGAAAACGAAATATTTAATAAAAATTCCAGGGGCAGTGATTGTACAAATATACTAATATTTTATACCTTATACAAGAGAATGCAGCAGTATTGATAAGTGGCTTTGTATTAAGTCCATTTTGTTTATTACAGTATACGAGGGCAACGTTTAGTTAAATCATCAAGACTGAATACATGAGTTACCATATTTGAAATCACAAAATAAATATCGTTTAATGTGTGCGTTAAAAAACCGCAGTTTCCGATAAAAACGGAAGTGCATTACGTTGCATCGCATACTTTATCTGTAGGCAATAATGTATCTGTTTTTAACATAATTTACCATTATGAATAATTAAATGGTTGTTTCAGTACTTCGTTTTTAATATGCGTGAAAAACTATATATCTTATAAACAAAAATAAATAGACTGTGCAAACAATTTCCCGTTATATTACATACCTGCGATTTAACAAATTTCTTATCATTTAAATGCAATATTGTATGATAGTATAGAAGCGCTCGTATTTCTGTGCATGTTAATTTTAAAAATTCGCACATGTACACATTACATAATAAAGCAATAGAGAGAAAGAGATAATATAGATAGATATGTAAAATTTAATAAAAACTTGCCGATATAATTAAAAATTTTTGCTCAATAAGCCGTTTTAAATTTATTACTTTCCTATTACTTTAAATTCAATAATTTAATTTTTTAATCAAAAAGATAATGTTAAAGAAATTTTAGGACCAACATGTTTGTAAAATAATATATTATCAACATGCTTTACAAAATGCAGATAGTAAATTTCCTAAATTTCTGAAGATATATGCAAAGATTGCAACAAAGATTTTTTTTGCTGTTTGTATTGCTTGTAACTATATCGCAATTTGGCCCATACACCCTGACACATATTTTGGAGACGAACGTCCTTTTCTTTGAGTGCAAAATTGTAAATTCTCCGTATCATGTACTTAGGTGTGGTAAAATTGCCACGTTGAATGAAACTTAAGGCAGCATATAATCTGCAACGGGCAATAAGGAGAGGATTGTCAAGGCGCATTGCCAATTCAAATTGCTTCACTGAGATTTTGCCTGCCATTTTAGCCTGTGTACAAGATACGTCAGATTAGTGAAAGTATATTATATAATTTGACAAAAGAGCCAATAGTAACTTACGCAGTGATCAAATTCTTCCCCCAATGCGGAAAACGCTCCTCCAAGTGTGGACAACCAAGACATGGCATGATCAACTTCTTGTCTTTCTACAACCATTTGCATTAATTTTTCACTCCTAAGAAAGGATAAATGTAAAAGACTATAACAGTTTAAATTAGTGTTGTAAAATCACTACAAAACTTGCCATTTGTAATCCAGGAATTGACTTTTTGGTATTCTCAATCTTATAAGTATTATCAGCGAATGTTCTTCTTTAAATGGTTTGTCACATGCTGTCTGAAAATGTTTCAACACTGTCATAGCACTTTTACGATAAACATGTGACTTTGATATCATTGAAATATAGGCTGAGACGAGGTAGGAATTGAGTCCTTTTTTGCACAGACAAACTGGCTTTGTAAATCTACATATACAAAACTCATCCTCTAGAAATTGTGTAAACCATTCACTGTGTTCTGTATACCTAAATATACCGTGTAATTTGACCGTGACATCATCAAAAATTATACGGTCTCTATATACAATAAATCGCACGCAATTATTCATCTCTTATCTTAATTTACGAAATTTTATATATTTTGCAATATTATTGCACTGGACTTCTCATAACACTGATAGAATCCATTTACAGAGTCCATTGACGAAAATGTATTTGGAGCTATTAGACATTTTCACAGTTCGAGGATCATCTAAAATTGAACTTTGCAAGCAAATTTGTACTCGAACTTCTACATTCCATTGACAATTATTCGAATCATTCTCCAATGCGTCCATGACCGCTCGATAGTCCATGAAAGAATCATACGCGAGGAGCGTAAATATAAAATTCCTCTAGTTTAGTCAGCTGTTAAACCAATGATGCGAATTTCAATCCATTTGCAGCTAATATCCCTAGAAGTAAGAATCTGGTTAATTTTGTCTTATTTTTGATTGGTTTGATAAACAATGGCGGTACCAATCAAATAATGACTGAGTACGTGAAAAAAATTAAAAAGTAAATAAGTGAACATTTTCAGCTGTAGAAATTAACCAATCATAATCTATTATTCTCCTCACATTCTATTGTGATTGGTCAATTTCTTATGGCTTGCAATTTATTACACTTATTTTCATTGTAAACGGCTCTTTATAAAGGGCCACATAACATAACCTCTATGCCTTTATCATGAGAGCGTGGTGAACTGGTAATCTGTGATCAAAGGCAACAGAAATCTGGGTATTAAATTAATGAAAAAAATAGAAACGTGGTAATTAAAAATATTTTAAAAACGTGGATTCAAAAAAGGAGGTAGGAAAGGATCGGCTGTTGCATTACCCATAATAAGGTTATGTGATTACATACGGATAATTTAATAATCAAGATGCTGAAAACGTTTAGACTTAGTCACAGACTCTGCCGGGTCCATCGTAGTTTTAAGGATTCTGTAACGCGAGTGCAAAGAAGGCTATTCTTGTCGGAGGCGTATCGCTGCGAGGAAGCATGGAGTCGTAGGCTGGAGTCACCGCTGTTACAGAAGATTGAACCGGCGTCGATGTACATCCAATTGGAACAAAAGTACGGGAGCATCGGCAAAGTTAGCGCCGTCGACGTCGACATCTTTGTCAACAGTGTCAGTGACAATCTGTATGTCAATGAGGTGATAAAGATTTTGCATAATCTCAGGCAATCTGTAGAAACGACGAATATACTGGATTCCACACATCATGCCGTAATACGGTATTTCTTGCAGCACAATTACATTCAAGAATTGCTTGAAGTGCTGACTGACAGATTAAATTATGGTATTTTTCCTGATTATTTTGACTATAACATTCTCATGGATCACTTCATAAATAGGAAGGATTATACCTCTGCTGCAAAAGTGGCAAGTTTAGTCATGTTACAGGAAGACGCGGGTCATCCTATCACTAATGCATTATGCTTATATGCATGTCATAGATATCTAGAAAATCCTGATGAATGGAAGAAACCCGAGGTTCCAGTAGATACTTCAGAGGAAGTGAAAGTACGTGTACAATATCTAAGAAATCCATACTTTGACGATCATTTTGATCTCACTGATCCGAAAGATCTTGTCGGCAAGACTCTAAACTTTCAGGGAAAGCATAGAGCAGATGCTATAGGAAGATCTTGCCAGTTAAGAGGCTTGATATTGTATAAGAAGTATGACGATGTATTAAACTTAATAAAGAAATGGTTAGAGATGAAGCAAGACAAAATAGTTTACGAAGAAGTATTTGAATTAATATCAAAAGATAACAATGGATTCCAAGATCAAGATGCTGAAAAGTTCAAACTTGTGGAGGCTCAATTATCCATATTGAAGGAGAAACAAAATCTTAAAGAAAGCTTTATTGAAGCGATAGAGAATCTTATTAAAGTGGCTATAAACGAGGAAACTGAAAAGGATATTTCTAAACAATATCAGGTAATAAATATTAATAAAAATAATTTTTTTGGAATTTAATTAATTACTTAATATCAATATATACAGTAAATTATAAAATTGCCAAATATACTCTGAATTTTCAGGCTTATCTCGATTGGGAACATAAAAGAACTTCAGTATTAGAAGCGCAAATGAAAGAAATAGACAGAGAAAGAAGAATTGATAATATCAAGAAAATAAAGGAGGATTTAGAAAAAAGAGAACAATTCTTGACATTCTTTGATAAAGAGGAAGAAATTGAATTGAAAATAGAACAGATACAGGAAAAAGAACGCAAACAAGATGAACGTGTTCGTGCTATGCATAATAGTGCAAAGCATTTAAGAAAGTTAATTACTGCAGAGTCTTACATACCACCAGATGTTAAAAGTAAGAAATAAAAGTGTGCTGTATAAAAAAAAGGTCATATACACATATGTATAGAAGATTAGAACAAAAAAAAGTCGGAACCGTTGTCTCATTGTACTTTGATATTATGTGTGTGTGTGTGTGTGTGTGTCTCATATATATTTATCTTAAGAAAATAATTTTCAAGGAGAGTATGTATAAAATATTAAACGTTGATTTTACCCTTATACATTTTATATTTTGTACATGTTCTTTGTTTGAAAGTGATATTTTAGCAGTTATTTTATTTACAGCCGCAAGTCAGATCTTCAAGTTGCGAGAGATACGAAAGTTGAACTCGATGCTAAAAAATTATTAGGCTTTATAATAAATAATGTCTCTTTGAGCATTGATGTCAATAGCATGTTTTATACACTTGGCCCGAGGCTAATAAAAGCCTAATGCCTGACGACTCCAGGCCAAGGCACGTTTGTTTAGCAGTTAACTTAGTAGATTCGTGGAGACTCTCACGGGCAATATCGTGTTATATTCTGCTGGTTGCATAGCTAAAAAACGTTTGGTCTTTAATGCATTCGATTCGTTTATATTCTGTAAAACAGTAAAAGAATGTTTTTATAATTTAGGTTATCTTATAGAGAATTCACACAAATTATGTTTAAATATTTCTCATTCTCTACACAATTATTGTAAAAAATGAGCTTCATACCTGTACTAAACTCCCATCTGGTCCTGAACATTACAATTCGCAAAATGACACTGTACTGTACACAACAATCACGAGGCTTTACTTTGGAGTTGTGCGGTTAATGCGGCGGTTTCTTGTTTCATCTGTTTTAAATCGGCAGTTATTCTTTCCAAATTAGCACCGACGTTTTTCGCGGATTCGGAATCGATCTGAGTAAATGTTAGATTAGTTTTCTACATAAATTTACTTTTCTTAATCCTTCTATCATTGCATCTTACCTGTTCTTCCAAATCTCTAATTTCTCGTATTGTCGCGCCTGTTTCTTCGACTAAACTTACAAGTTCATTACAGTCTGAATGTAACGTTGCTAATAATTTGTAAGCCTTCCGCGAAGCTTCGTTTGTTCTTGCATCTCTGAATATTAGTTCGTCTACGACGGTAAAGGATCTCTCCAATCTCCCGGTAAGCGTATTGATTTCTTTTTGAATTTCACGAGTATCTGCCAGAACCTTGTTTATCTCATCTCTCTGTTTCCTGACATTATTTATTATTTCTAAAATTCGTTGAGTGTATGCAGATCTATTTACTTCCTTAGGAAGTTTCTGAACTTCTGCGACCAACTGTGAATACTGTTGGTCCTTATTCCGACATTCTTCTTGAAGTTCTTTTTCCTTCTCTTTTAATAATTTTATCTCATCCAGCTTCTTTTGGCTCGCATTCTATAATAAAAATGTAATCATTTTTTAAATATAAATGACTCTTGGTTACCTTCAAATTTATTTAATTTTGTATACTTACTGCTTTTGTGGAATGCTTCTCTCTTTCTTGCCTATATTTCATGATTAAGGGCACCCTATGTTTTTCCCACTGATTTGCTAAATTAATCAGTTTACTTGTACTAGCCTCAATTGCAGATTCCAATTTTTTTACATTCTCTGGCCCATCTTGAAGGAGTTCGTATGCTTTTGCTTTGATTTTTTTTTGCTCCTCATTGATTTTTAATTCCTTCTCTTCATTTTGACCAGTTATTGTTGCTTGAGCTAATCTGGTGGTCAATTTTTTAATTTCGTTTTGTAATTCTTCTATATTTATTCTAAGACTTTCGCATTCTGCTTTCATCTTTTCTGTTTCAACTTCCTGTTTTGCCTGATTTCTTAATGTTTCTTGATCTGGAAGCACTGGTTGCATTACAGATTCTGGTTTCACCTGAGATTCCTAAAAATTTAATGATCATAATGAATATGTAAGATATATAATAGTTATTTTCCATTTACATCAAAATTTAGATAATTCTTATTTGTGATGTCATAACTTAGTTGAATGCATGTTCCTTTTCATTCTCTGACAAGTGAGGTTCAATCGTGCTTTATTCAGTCTTGTTAACTCATAAAAGTGAAATTATAAACTTGTCTTGTTATGTAGGTATAAATACGAACGTAAGCGAGTACTGATGTCATTATCTGAGTATAAAGTACTCATATAACTTTAGATTCAGTATCACTTGTATGAAAACGGAAAGCAACTAATCAGCTATAACGTATATGAACAAGATAAGAATATCTTGTATGCTTACTGTTGAAGTTTGTATCTTGTTCTCTGATGAGAATTTGCTAAACTCTTTGACAATATTATATGCATTAGAATAAGCAGGTTTTTCAGAGTGTTGGCTACTAAGCCAATTTATGCGTTCCATAATATCTGTCGGAGAAGTATTAAGCGCTTTTGCATTGTACGATATCATTGAAGGTAAAAAGCACGCAATGTCTTGCATTTGTTCAGGCACTGGTTGTAAATAGCGCATACAATAGTCTTTATAATCTGCAATAATAACGGTCGCCATTGCATTAACATTGTCTAGCAAAAGTAATCCAAGTAATATTAATATTGCATTACCATCTTCGATATTTGCTATTGGTACTTCGATATTTACAGACACATAAGGAACATTCGCTCTTCCTCTATTCCTGAATCCCTGTTTATGACAATAATGTGGTAACCATGGTATGGAGAGTCCTTGAGATATTGCAGATGCTACCGATTTCTCTAATAAAGCGACTTTACTGATGGATTCGTTTATGGTTTTCTCACTCTCCTTTGGCAGTTTTTCAATGAGAAACATAAATACTCTTCGCAGATCTGCTTCTGAATTATATAGGAATGTCTGATAGCCGATGTCACCTCTGTATCCAAGCTCCTATAATTTTGATCAGCTAATGGAAATAAGCAAAACCACATGAATATGTTTTGGTCTAAGAAAAGACAAAATATATTTACCATGCACGTTTGTGCAAGAGTAGCGCCCAGTCGAAAGCGCGCTGCCATGTTTACAGGTAATACAGTAGACAAA